GTCGAAGTTAAACACGAAGTCAAGACAGTGGAAGTTAAACACGACGATAAGAAGCCTGAAGTGAAACCTGATGAGAAAAAGGTGGAAGTTAAACATGAAGAAAAGAAAGTAGAAGTTAAAGCTGACGATAAGAAGGCTGAAGTCAAACCAGATGACAAGAAGGTGGAAGTTAAACACGAGGAGAAGAAGCCTGAAGTCAAACTAGAGGAGAAAAAGAATGAAATAAAAGTGGAGGAAACAAAGACGACGGTTAAAACATTGGAATCAAAGAGTTCAGTGAAAGTAGAAGATCCAAAGACCTCAGTGAAGACAGAAGAAACAAAGTCCACTGTGAAAGCAGAAGAAACTAAGACGCCGAAGAAAACTGAAGATTTCAAGACCACAGTTAAAGTGGAAGAAACAAAGGCTACTGGGAAAACAGAAGAAACAAAGAATTCGACTAATACAGAAGTAACAAAGACGACAGTGAAAACAGAAGAGAGGAAGACGTATGGTAACGAACAAGAAACAAAATTGCACAGTAACCTTGTTGAAACAAAGAAGGAAGATTCAGTTGTAGGGGAACAGGAACGTCTTTTAAATCAGAAAGAAGAAGAAAAAGTGATTAATTCTGTCATAGGTCAATTGGTACCCATTGTGGATCAAACGGTTTCCCTTGAAGTAGAAGAAGCATTACTTGGTGCAAACATCCAAAGTGATGGTAATACTTTTAGTCGACCTCCATATGTGTATGAGGGTACTGGACCTATATACATAGTGTCGGATGAATATGCACCAGTAAACATTTTCGAAGGGCAACAAACAGTAGTTACTGAGGTTTCGGTAAGAAAACAGTGAAACTGAAGTCTTATTTGGTATTTTTTCTAGGAAACTTACGTCGGTGGTGTCCCAGGTGATGTTGTGTTCGTTCCTACTGAGCCAAGTATAGTAACGATTGGTGATTTGACAGAAGGTGTCGAGGAGGAAATATATTTGGATGCGTCTGGTGTTCCACCTGCTCCGGAATACCTCGTCAGTGCTCCCGGAGTCGTCGAAGGTTAATAAGTTTCATTTGTGAGATGTGAAAATTTACGTTGAATTTTTATCTATAGGTCTTATGATGAGTCTCGATGGCAATCCAGTGATGGCTAGTCAGCCTGATAGTCAACTACCACCTTCATCATTTTACTTTTAACATTTACAAATAAGCAGGATTTGTTGTGTTTCTCTGCACTTCTTTTTATTTCATATAGTTATTGTAGTGTTGGCCTTGAAGTCTTTCTTATATTTCGATCTTTTTTAGTGTAAGAAAGCAATTTATAGCATAAATCAATCTGTATTTTATCGATCATCGTTGCGCATTATTGATATTTTTTGTGATCGTTTTGAAGTTTATATCAAAAAATGCTGGTAGCTTACTTTTATGCATCTTTTTTGTAAAGGCAGTAGCTTCTTTCTTTTAATAAATGAACTTTTCAAATATTACCTACTCATAAAATATTCTGGGTTATGCTCACCAGAAGAGAGATTCATATTTGTGTGAGCTAAACATTTTTGATGATGTATTATATACAGGGTGACACAAATGTCGGTTTACCGAAAAAAATTGAATATCTCCATTAGAACTTCTATCAAACAAGCTGACTTTTTTATCAATGGTAGAGACGTGATCAAAGTTTATATGCATAAAGAAATGCTTAGAGGGACCCTTCATTAAGTACTACTATTGACCTCAACAAAAGAATTTTACTTTTTTACAGGTAGGAAGAAACCAATATATGATAATGAAAAGACAGTTTTCCAAGACAAAATGTAAATTCTCATTCATGTTTCTTTTGTTTATTATCAAATACATCTTACGGTTATTCATTGAGAAGAAAAGAAAAGAACATCAGAATACCTAATCAATATTTTTGTTTATATTCTTCAAAACAAAAAGGAACAATTTTTTAGCGTAAATGCTCAAATTGTTTTCCTTCGGCGTTAATACACATTTGACAACTATCAGCTACAGTTCGATAGATTGTTTGGCATAGCTCAATATTATCATTGAGAGATGTAAATTCTTGTTTGATTAATGACTTCAGATGATTTACATCATGAGGAGTTTGAGCATATACACAATCTTTCATAATCCCCCACAATGAGAAATCACATGGAGTTAAATCTGGAGATCGTGGTGGTCATTCAATGGTTCCTCGACGACCAATCCAATCTACAAATGTATCATCTAAATAATCTCGCACAATTTGACCATAATGAGGTGGTGCACCGTCTTACTGCCAGATCATTGTTTGAAAAGCTAAATGTTCTTCAAGTTGTAGTATTATATGGTCCTTCAACATCTGAAGGTAGGTTTGTGATGTAACACTACCTTCAAAAAAAATGGTCCAACAACACCGTTAACCATATTCCTCTCCAAACAATCACTTGTGGCACATTGAGCTCTTGTTCAATGATAAAATGTAGATTCGTATCACTCCAATAAACACAATTGTGTCTGTTGACACGACCGTTTATTTGAAATGTAGCTTCATCCGTCCAAAGGATGCAATCTAATAGAGTCGGATCTTCTTGTGTTGAATTTAAAATCCATTCACAAAATTCCAATCGTCGATCTGGATCATCTTCGTTCAACGTCTGTAACAATCTTGGCTTATATGGTTTTAAATTCACATCTTGCATAAGACGTTGTAAACTTCTACGTGAGATACCAAGCTCCAGTGATGCACGTCTTTGAGACATTTGTGGATTTTGAGCAAAAGTTTCAGAAACGAGTTGCATATTTTCTTCTGTTCTAACTGTTGTCGGTCTGCCATTTTGTGGTGAATCTTCGACAGAACCTGTATCATCAAACTTTTTTACTAATTTGTGAACTGCTTGTTGAGTTGGCATTTTCTTGTCAGGAAATTCATTGCGAAAAGCTCCATTTACTCCTCGAAAATTTCTTCCTGATATCTACCATGGTTTGACGAGAAAAATCCTTTGCTCTTTTGTCAGATATAACGACATCTGCAAACATATGAGCTCGAAGCAAGAGTTACGTACTGAAAGAACAAGCCTTACCCAGAATACACGAGACATACGTAGATAGACAGCAGACGACTATGAGCAACAATACGACAAATAGAACGATTTATATGTGAAGTATCGACGTGGATTATCGTAAAACAGGAGGAAAAAATAGAAAGTGAAAGTATCTATAAATATCCAACACGTGTTATCGACAAGCTCATTTGATTTACTACATTTTGTCTTGATAAACTGTCTTTTCTTTATCATATATTTTGTTTTTTCCCTACCTGTGAAAAAGTAAAATTTTTTTGTTGAGGTCAATAGTAGTACTTAATAAAGGGTTCAATCTACTAACTTGTTGAAAAAATTTTGTGTGAAATATCATAAGAACTGGATAGATACCTGATAAGTGCTCATATAC